GCCAAAGTTCCTGCAATAGGATCTTGCCCTTTATGACGATAGGACTTAACAATCCAAGGGGGTCGAACAGCTTCGATGTCACCGACAGTATGTTCCGTTTTGTCGCTCGGAGACCCATGACCCATGTCAATTTTAAACTGAAAGGCATCTTCCTTAGGCAACCATGAGATTCCTAACGCCTTAGTCGATTCTGAATGCGGGATCGCTATGGGCTTTGCTGTGCTCTCAGATGCGGTGATCTCAGGTGAGTTCGAAAACCAGTTCGACCCAATAGCGTCAGCAGCTTTAGGGAATGATAGTTTCACAGACTCACTCAACCTTTGTAAACACCGAATATCCAAAAAGGGGGCTGGTCCAGTCCCATACGTCACGGTGTTAAGCTTGTATAATCTTAAGGACTCAGATGGGTCTCTTCTCCACACTATCATCTGAAACTGCCTATCCGCTTCATTTACCATCACTTGGCGATACATCTTTTTCACATCGGCAGTCAGGGCGATCCTGTGCAGACGGAAGCGGAGAAGCGTTGAGTATAATTCCTCTTGAATGGTCGGTCCGACCATCAGAATCTCATTCAAGGCCACCTGAGAGGACGTCTTCGACGACGCATCGAACACGACGCGAAGCTTGGTGGACGTACTTTGGGGCCGAAGGACACACTGATGTGGAATTACGTAGTGTGGAGTAGAAGGAACCGTATTGTCAGTCGGTGACATATGACCTAAGGAGAGGTACTCTTCCATGAATTCCAAGTACATTTTCTTCAACTCAGGGTCACGAGACAATCTTCTTTCGAGCGACAAAAACCGCCGTTTAGCAACCTCAAAGGAGTTGCCCAAACAATTTGGATCTGATTTAAACGGCAGCCTTACTTCAAACCGACCTGATGGCAATACCTGAGTCGTCTTCCGAAAGTGATTTTCACATAACGTGTGCTCAGGCGAAATAATTTTCTTTGGAGATGGCATTTCTTCCAGTGACCAGAATTTTTGCAAGGTCCTATCAATGGAAACTAACAGCTCTTCACTGCAACTCAAACTGTTTGCCGTTTGGGGGGCAGAACTTTTGGAAACATATTTTCCCGAAACAACCCAGCCAAGAAGGGTCTTCTGAAGAGTTGGATAGTCAGGACCTTGCTTGATTTGACCAACAGCTAATAACTCAAAGAATGATTCAGCTCCAATCAGCATGTCTATTCTTTGTGGCTTGTAGAAATAGGGGTCTGCCAGTGGTAGGTTCTCTGGGATTTTCCAATCAGTTACATTAACTGACTGGTCAGGATGATAACCTGAAATTGATTTCAGGATCCAAAAATCAAAGGAGAACTCACTACCATTTATGCGCGACTTCACCACAGTGTGTATTTTATTCTTTACTTGAGAATTGGATTCACCAATACCAAGCAAGGTAATACACGACTCCTCTCTACGGATCTGTAAGCGGTGGGCGAGGTCTTCCGTGATGAAGTTTGTTTGGGATCCAGAGTCAAGGAGAGCTCTGGCCAAAATGTGTTCACCATTTTTTGTTCTGACACTTACGATCGACGTAGCCAAAATCACCCTGTCCAACGAAGTCGCATGCAGAGCATGAGAGGTGGAAGGGTGGTCCTGATTTAAAGGAGGAGACGAACTCTCTGGGGGTGGCGGCAACGCGAGACTATTATCAGTCACTGTGTATCGATGCAACAATGTGTGATGTGAGCGGCCACAAACTCGACATTTGGCGACCTTGCATCTTACAACAGTGTGACCCTTTTGCAGACAATTTATACATAAGGACGCAGACTTTGTGAACTCGAACCTTTGCATAACCGAGAGACGTGAAAATGGCGTGCAGTTGGCCACTACATGGTCTCCCGAATTGCAATAGCTGCATGTTCGCTGAGCTCTACTGTTGGGGGGAGTGGAAGAACAAGCAAATGAACTGCGATTGTGCGACTTGCTTGGCATGAAAAGTCATGCCTTGGCTTTGTCGACTCTTCCGCAGACAAATGCTGGTATCGACGATTTAAAACTTTTTCAAAGTCGGACCAAAGCGGCAACTTTTCGAAGTCAAGCTGTTCTTCCCACTTCTGTCTAGTCACTGGGTCGACTCTGTTCAAAACGAGATGAATGAGCATTGCATTCGAAATCTTCGTATCGTCTCCTATCGATAATAATGAACCATAGATCGATGACACTGTATCGATGAGGCTTCTTAGGGACGATGCGGACTGTTGCGAGATTTTTGGCAGATTAAACAGTGCGGAGATTTGGTTCGAGAATATTAGACATTCGTTGTCATATACTCGCTTTAGGCTGTCCATGGCCTTTGCATAATTGGCCTCGGTGACTTGGAACGCCTTTATTGTTCCTAATGCTTCATTAGAGAGGCACGAAATTAAATGATTAAATTTTTCGATCACCGGTATACTCTCATCATTATGAACAAGAGTCTCAAAAAGGCTAATAAAATTTTTAAACTCCGAATATTTACCACTAAATTTTGGTAGTGCCAATTTCGGAAGTCGAGCACGAGTTGGGGCTGTAGAAGCTGATACCGAGGGCGGCGTATCGCTTGTTAGCTTCAAGGCATCGATAAGCGACATTATCTTTGCCTTGGTTACAATGGCCATTTCTTCCAGCTCGGCTCCAAATTCATCTTTGCTATCAATTTCTTCTATTTGCTCCTGCAATAGGTTGGCCTTGTTAATAGCAGAATTCAGAACATCGAGTCTGCATTGTAGCTCTGTCAATTGCAATGGAATCGACCCACCCTCTAAACGATCCTCTAAGCGGCGAATGCTTTTGACTCGGTTTTTGAGCTTACTTTTTAAGTCATCGAGAACAGACTTATTTTCTTGTGCCATTTTACTATTTATAATCTACGCGACGAAAACCAATATTTTTGTAGATAAAGAAATAATAAATGTTCAAACAAGAACGAAAAGCGAGAACGACAATAATTGAATGTCGAGGCACGAGGTGTATAGTTGGTTGCAAGTGACAGCCAAAACGATATACCCTCACACTGTAAGGTAGCGCGTAGTTTTCCAACTGAGAGCCGAAAGCAATCTACCCTAAGAATGCAGGGTAGCGCGTCACTTTGCAACTGAGAGCCAAAACAATATACCCTAAGAATGCAGGGTAGCGCGTCACTTGCGAAGTGACAAGAAAAACAATATACCCTCGAAAAACAGGGTAGCGCGTCACTTGGCGCTCCGTTTTGATCAAGCGCGGCAACGAAATTCTCCCACCAAATACACAGCAAGCAACGGTGGATAAGCGAAAGCGAGAGACGAAAAGAATGCACCGGTGCAGCTGCTTGTATGTATGTATGTATGTATGGAAGTAAGTGTTATACACCGCGGCTTGGGTTAACGAACCAACTTTTTGGCGAATTTCACACAACGAGAGGGGAACGGGGGGGGCGACAGTGATTGCGGTAAACGATATATATATAATTGTGCGTCCAAATAGCGGTTCAAATAGAGTATGGTATGGTTTTTGTACATATGTGTTATATGGTGTTATATATGTATGTATGTGCACTAATAAATTAAATGCATGCAAATCAAACTCTACTATATCATACGGCTGTGCCAAGAATTGAAAGCGAGGTGCAATTTTTCCAGCACAAGACAATTTATATATGTATTTATGTATGTCTTCGGCTCTAGCTTTCAATTTTTTGCACAAATACCTCAGGCTCTGCGTTCGGATCTTTAAGTCCAGCTGCCACTTTCCTCTTGCAGTCCGTGCAATCACAAGGGGCCATAGATCTTCTAGGTTGCAGCTAAGGGGTCTGTGTATGGCGGTGAAACAGCAAGTATAGGCAGGGTAGCAGCAACGGTGAAGCAGCAGGTATGGCGGCAGGGTAGCAGCCACGATCAGCAACAGGCGGTGAGGGTATTGCGCGGCCGACACGATGGTTTTGGCAATGATTTGGATACACAAACACGACACTTTTATTCTATAATAGAATAAACTAGTTATTTATTATAACTTTCTGTATGTGTATATATTTTTTGTTACACTCTTTATGCAAACTGTGTCACTGTCACTTTTAATTGTTGCCTTTTTTAATTTATTCTTTACGTCCACCCGGGGGCGCCATGAAAATTTAGAATAGTTTTTCTAATTAAACAAAAACCGAAATACTTGGGTGGCGTATAGATTTATTAAAGGCGGGGACGAAAATAATTTAGGTGCGCTCGATCGAATCCAATTTCAACGATTGTATTCTAAAATTCATTCCACTTCATTCTATGCCTAACTAACCTACGGTGGCAAAGCGGGGCGAATTCGCCTTGAGCGAAAGAGCGAGCTTTTATTGCGCTCCCGCCTTGCCCTAACCTACTTACACTAGACTTCAAACAATTCAAAAATAATCTTAACATACAACATTAACTAAGACGACGACAAGACGAAACAGAGGTAGCGCTTGTTTTTTCACATAACTCTAGTATTTTAAGTCTGGTTGTAAAGAACTTTGTTATTTTAAAAAGATAATTAAAACAGCTAGAAGATAAGCCCAGCTTACCGTCTGGGAAATATAAATGCAAAAATGATGATTTTTGTGCGGTATTTTTTACGAAATTTTGACTTTAAAAACTCAGGAAAAGTCAAAAAAAAAATATTTTTTCGTGTACAGTTGCATTAATTTGGCGTCGTTTAAGGTATCGCTCATAAAAATCTATGGAGAGACTTTGGAGCTAAAATTCGTTAACCAAACCTAAAAAATGAAAAAAATGAACAAAAATACCTTTTTGATGGTTGCCCAACTGCCAATTGGGAACAAAGCAAACGAAAAAGGGTTGTACATTTGGTACCTGATCGCGATCGCAATTCCCGATTGGCAGTTGGGCCCGCAGCCTTCCAAAAGGTATTTTTTATTCATTTTTTAGGTTTTAGCTCCTGTTGGAAGCTGCCGAGCTTTTTCGGCAACTCTGACTCCACATTTACAATAATTTACTCAGCTGGTTAAGTTTACAAATGTTTTTATTTTATCGACGGGTTACAAAGGTTTTGAGGCCGTGGCCGTGAACTACGACTCGATGCGTTCGACAAATATTTGGACTGCTACGAGAACAGGGCGAAGCAATGCACTATAAGCAGTACTGACATATGTGCGTGTGTACGGGAGCGTACTGAGAGAGCGATTTTTAGTATAAGAGATGATATATGACTATATGATATTAATTTGTTGAGATCTATGAACAGCTGCTGCTCCGAACATACTACCCCCCGTTGAAAGACCAGGGTTTTTAACAGGATCCTCAACGGGTAGGACGCACAGCTTGTTGACAGCTCGACGAGTGGTTACAGATGGTGTTCTCAGGATGGCAACTCGCACAGTGCCATCAGCTCCAGCAATGATGTCGATCACCCGTTCTAATGGCCACTTCAACGGCGGCAAGTTTTCGTCCTTGATACAGACGATGTCGTTGACTTGGATCGATGGCTGCGGGGTGCGCCATTTGGCACGTTGTTGGAGCAGTGTCAAATACTCCTCACTCCAACGCTTCCAAAAGATCTGCTGAGCACAGACGACTCTTTGCCAGCAATCTAGTCTGTTAAAGTTTAGATTCGTAACGTCTGGCTCGGGAAACTCCATTAGCGGACGACCAATTAGAAAATGTCCTGGTGTAAGGACGCCAAGATCTTCAGGGTTTTCTGAAATTGCGAGAAGAGGACGAGAATTTATTACAGCCTGGATTTGGCAGACCAATGTCCGCAGCTCGTCGAAGCCAAAGAGTGACGATCCGAGGGAGCGATATAAATGCTGCTTGGCCATCTTCACTGCTGCCACCCACAAGCCCACGAAGTGGGGTGAGCGAGGCGGGATAAACTTCCAATTGAAGCCATTGTTGATGCAATGATTATGGACTGCATCACGATGCTTCTCGCTCATAAACAGCCGCCGAATGTCCTCCAACTCGTTCCTTGCTCCCACAAAATTGGTGGCATTGTCCGACCAAATGCATCGGGGTATGCCGCGCGTGGCAACGAAGCGTTTGAGGGCACTTCGAAATCTAGCAGTTGTGAGGTCCTTCACTAATTGCAATCAAACGGCCTTTGTTGCAAATCAGATGAAGACGCTGATGTAGCATTTTGTAGGCGTTCGAGTGCGCCCATCTGGCTTGTAATAGAAGGGACCGCAGTAGTCGATTCCAGTGACGCTGAATGCAGGCGAATAATGCACTCGATCCTTCGGTAGGTCAGCCATTATGTGCTCCACAAGACGAGGTCTGGACCTGCAGCAGATGATGCATTTCCGCAACGCTCGAGCAACAGTTTTCATGCCGCCGATGGGCCAGAACTGCAAGCGAATAGATCCCAGTAGAGACTGCGGCCCAGCATGGTGATGCTACCGGAGGGTTTTCAATGGTGCAACTCTAGCCTTCGAGCAAAGCAAATGTACCTCATCGGCGGTATCCTTAAACGAACGAGCATAGATACAAGCCCCATAGGCCTGGAGGCTGGCATCACAAAATGCATGCAACTCAAACCTTGCCTCAGGTTGAAGTATATAACGCGGAAATGTAGCGTGACCCACAGTAGCGAAGTCCTTGCAAAACTCAGTCCACGCTGATTCCAGTGGCTGAGGAAGACTTTCATCCCAATGCAGCTTGTCTCTCCACATGCGCTGCATGATGATTTTCGCTCTGGTCAATGTGGGTCCAATCAATCCCATAGGATCATAGCACCGTGCAATGGTTGACAACACCGAACGCTTAGTGTGTTTGCCAACACCGATTTGAGGTGCAAAAGTACACAAGAAATTGTCCCTCTGGGGTTCCCAGATGAGTCCAAGCGCCTTGGTCACATCGCTGCCATCATCGAGCTTCAGAAAACTTTCCCTTTCTGCCTCAGGGACTTCACGAAGAACATCAGGAGAGTTGGAACACCATTTCCTTAACTGAAAATTGCCACCAGCAAGAAGCTCCGTGGTTTGACGCATAATATCCAGCACTTCCTTGACTGAATTTCCTCCAGAAATCATATCGTCTACGTACAAGTCCTGTAGAATGGTTTCCGAACCCAATGGATACGAAGACGACTCATCCATGGCCAGCTGATGCATAGCTCGAATAGCTAAAAACGATGCAGGCTTAGTCCCATAGGTGACAGTGTTAAGCTTGAAGATCTTTATATCGTCGTCAACAGAGTCCCTCCACAAGATGCATTGGAGCATGGTGTCGGGCATTGAGACACGCACGCACCTATACATCTTACCGATATCGCCTGTAAGAGCAATGGAAAATGTACGAAATCGAAGGAGAGTGTGAAACAGCTTGGTTTGAATGGTGGGACCTGACATAAGCAGATCATTCAACGAGAGACCAGATGTGGTAACTGCAGAGCCGTCGAATACGACTCTCAGCTTTGTCGTGGAGCTATCCTCTTTAATGACGCAATGATGCGGCAAGAAATATCTGCACTTGTGTCTATTTTTATTTGGAACCAGAGACATATGATCAAGGGACAGGTACTCCTTCATAAATGCCGAATATTTCGAATATAAAGCTGGATTACGCACGAACTTGCGCTCCAAATTTTCCAACCGTCGCTTTGCTTGCAAGCAGGAATCGCCCAAGGACTCCAGACTTCGCTTCATGGGCAAGCTAACAGAATATTCTCCTGAGGGTAATCGAGTGTGATGTTTGACAAAGTGGTCCTCGCAGTGCAGCTCCTCCTTTGTTGCCCTAGCGATTGGCTCAAAGATGTGCTCCACTTCCCAAAATTGACGAACCAACTCATCGAGCCGAGTGCTGTGATTGATGTCATCCGAAGATTGGGTTGCGATGAACGATGAGTTATTGAGGGCCGAGTGCCCGCCACCAGCAAGAATCAATCCTAGATGTGTCTTCTGCAGCAACGGTAGTCCAGGCGCCAGCTAAATTTGCCCCACACACAGCAACTCGAAGAAAAGTCCGACTCCGATGAGCAGGTCAATCCGCTGCGGCTTATGGAACGAAGGGTCAGTAAGCTGGATATTCGACGGTATAGGCCAATTAGCAGTGCTAACTGTGAGGCTAGGTTGATGGTCCGTGATCTTCTGGGCAACGACGGCAGTGATGCTAGTGGTGAACTCTGAAATCCGCGTTCAGAACGACATCCACCGAGATACCTTCTGTTGGGAAGCTATGCCAGAGACAGCGGTAAGCGATTTGGTTGTTCGAAGTTTTAGCTGATTAGCTAGACGACTAGTTATGAAATTCAATTGCGATCCCGAATCCAAAAATGCGCGACAGGGTACGAAAGTTCCAACGCTGTTTTTTACGAGAACGACGGCGGTGGCTAAAAACACAGCATCAGATGGACTGTGGGACATAAAAGCTTGAGGCAAGGAGGGCGATACTGCAACCATGGCGTTACGACTTGGTTGTGCTGGTGAGGCTTCAATTGGAGGAACAGATTGGGCCTCTGTTGGACGAATGAAATGCAAAAGAGTGTGGTGCTTCGATCGGCAAGTGCGGCAGGGACCTGATCTACAATCTCTCAATTTATGGCCTTTTCGTAGGCAATTTAGGCATAGCAAGAGCCTCTTGGCTTCCAGGCGACGATCATTCGGCGATAGAATTGCAAACCGTTGACAATTGGCAATCATGTGATGAGTACTCTTGCACAGTTCACAAGAAACTGGAGCGGTCGATGCTACAAATGTCTTTCTTTGAAGCGTACTCACGGTTTTTCCTGACTTGCCAACCTGACCATCTTGTCCTTGTATAGATTGATCCACATTTTCAAGCGTTCGACATCTTTTTTCCAAGAATCCAGACAGTTTCTCCCAAGATGGCAGCTCTTGATTCGACGAAGACTCCTCCCATCTATTTTGAGAGGCTTTGTCCAGCTTATGAAGAACAGTCTGCACGATAATGCAATCCGCCACTTCTTCCTTGCTTGCAAGTGACTCCATAGCACGAATATGCGATCTAACTCTGTCGGTCAATTCCCTCAATCTGCCCACCGATGCGTCAGCCTTCTCCAACCCAAATATCCCTCTGATGTGTGCCTGCAAAATAACATGTTTATTGTCAAAGCGTCGCTTCAGAATGTCTAATGCTATGATATAATTAGCTTCATTTATTTCCAACGAGCTGATGGTATTCAGGGCTGCGCCACTCAAGCAGGAACGTAGATGCTGCAGCTTTTCGATAGGGCTCAGCTCAGACTCCTTGTCAATAATCGCGGTGAACATTGAGAAGAAATTGGCCCACTCCGTATAAATTCCACTGAATTTGGGCAGCTCCAGATGAGGTAACCGAGATCGATTGGACATTATGACGATTGACTGCGATTCACTAGAATTGGCGTTGAATGTGGAACAATGCTTATTGCTCTAGCGACTTCCAAGCTCGCGCTGAAGAATGGTCCTCAACGACAATATCGACGAGTCGAATTTGGCAGGAATTTCACTGGACATTGACTCCAAATCCTCCAAACTGGTGTGTGCCACAACAAAATTTGATTTAAGCTCCGTCAATGATTCCAACAGCCCTCGCAAGTCGTATTCATCCATTTGGCGCAACTTTTCACTATCCATCTCTGTGCGTATGGACTCTAGCCGATCGAAAATAGCTCTAGCCTTCAGTCTCATGAAGGAAATACGAGATACCGGAACAGGGACTTGGGTGCTGGCTGCATTCTCACTAAAACTTTCACCCGATGGAGCAGCGCCAAATGTCACAGAATCACTTTCATTGTCCATAGCAAACGATCCACTCTTTCTGCTATTCTTTTTCTTGCCCATGTTTTCGGTTATAGAAATCGGTTGACGCGGAGGGTGCTAGTCGATCACAATTAAATATTATTACGCAACGCGCGAGTTCAAACGAGTTCAAACGCCTTTACGTTCACTTTTTTGGCACTTATATATGCGATATGTATGCACCGGTAAAAGCAACGAAGCGACGACGGAAAACCAACAATTATGCAAAAGAGAGAACGCACGAGATGTACTCTGCTTTCGAGTTCGAATTACAGAGAGTTATTACTGCAGCCTCCCACAAGAGCTGGCTGAAGCAAACGACCAAAGAGGAGGCGAAGAAAACTAACGGACCACGCTAAGACCTCTATGCAACCAGTCTCGACAGTGCGTTGCGCAGGCTGAAGCAGACGGTGAAAGAGAATACGAAACGAATAGCGGGCCGCTAGAACTGCTAAGGTCGGTCACAACGACTTTTGGTTCGCTACTTTTTTCACAAATGTCACGTTAAACCTTCAAAATTGGATTGATTTAATGGTTTAAACACTTTTAACGCACTCTAAGTCCACGGCAATCACGTCGGAGTCACCAAAATGTTGGAAGCTGCCGAGCTTTTTCGGCAACTCTGACTCCACATTTACAATAATTTACTCAGCTGGTTAAGTTTACAAATGTTTTTATTTTATCGACGGGTTACAAAGGTTTTGAGGCCGTGGCCGTGAACTACGACTCGATGCGTTCGACAAATATTTGGACTGCTACGAGAACAGGGCGAAGCAATGCACTATAAGCAGTACTGACATATGTGCGTGTGTACGGGAGCGTACTGAGAGAGCGATTTTTAGTATAAGAGATGATATATGACTATATGATATTAATTTGTTGAGATCTATTAACAGCTGCTGCTCCGAACAGCTCCAAAGTCTCTGCATAGATTTTAATGAGCGATACCTTAAACGACGCC